TGGTCTCTGGATCAAATCCCCACCTGGATGACATCCCCGGCAAGGGGATTCCAGTGCAGATCCGTGGGCAGAGTGGATTCTCCCAGTGGATCCCCTATTCAGACCAGCTTGGACTAGATCCCCACAGCCTTGAACCCAAGTCCAAGATCCCTGGGGGAGGGTGGGGGCTTCCCCTCCCTGTCGATCAGGATTCCCCTTTCCTGGCGCTTCCCTCCAGGCTCACTCTCATTCTGCTTCACTTCCTGTCCTACAAGCCAGGTGTCCTGGCCCAGGGCAGCTCCACAGAGCCTGCCATGCTCCACCCCAGAGGCAGCTGCATCCAGTGCCAGTCAGGGGGGAGACCAGGGAGGAGACATCAGGGGTGGGAGGTGCCCCCTGTTGCCTCCCAGCTGTTCTCAGAGCCCCAGGGCAGACAGGGAAGTCGAGGCACCAGACTGGGAAGTGACTCATTCAGCTCCAGGCCATGACTCAGGGCAGGGCCAGGAAGAGAACCTAGGCATCCTGGCTCCCAGGACCCCCTGCTCCAACCCCATCAGGCCCAGTCCCCTCCCAGAGCTGGGGAGAACCTAGGCATCCATACCCACAGCCCCACTTCTCCAACTGCACCAGGCTCCAGTCACTCCCCTCTCACTTTGGGGGGGCAGCTGGGGTAGGACCCTTCAGGTGTCGACTGGGCTGTGGGTGCAGGGGACCTGGGGCCTATGGAGGCTCTCAGCGGGGTCCCACAGGCCTTCATGCGCATGTGTGCCTGCCTTGCCACATATGTGGTCTCTCTTGGTGTGTTTGCATGGACATGTGTGTCTGTGCCCTGCTAGCTGCCCACGTGTGTCTTGGTGCTGGGAGGGCAACTCCAAGGGGCAGGTGAACCTATGCCCTGGTTTGGCAGGTGTCTCTTTCCCCATCTGTGTGAGCTGTATGTGTAACAGGTTTTTCTTCATGTTGGTCTGTGTGACTGTATGATCTGCATCTCAGAGTGTGTATGTGGCTGTGTCCATGTGGCTCCATGTGTGCCCATGAGAGTTTCTTCATGTCTCTGTATTCATGTGATCTCCCCAGTATTCCCTGTGTGTGTGTCTCCAGGTATATGTGTGCGTATGTGTCCCTTGGCTCCACATGTCTTTGCCTGTCTTAGTGATGTGTGTGTATGTGTGTGCATCTCTGCCACCCTGGGGTCTGTGTCTGGCGGTGTGTGTGTCTGCAACCATGTGGACTGTGTGTCTGTGTACAAAACTCCATGTGTGTGTCTGTATCTCCATCTGTGTAATGTCAGTGTGCATATGCATGCATGTGTGTGTCCTGGACGCCAGGGTTATACCTGTGTGTGCATGCCTGGGTGCATGCGTGTGTGTGTTGGACACCTTGGTTCTATGGGTGTGTGTCCCCTAGTTGCCTCTGTATGTGTGTGTGTATGTGTCCTAGATGCCTGTGTGTGTGTGCACATGTGTGTATGCCAGTTGCAGAGGGGCATGTTGTGTAAGTGTGTGTGTGTCCCAGATGTGAGTGTGAGGGGGTGTGTTGGATGCCTGGGTTCTCCGGGGGTGCTGCCAGGACTCCTGGGTTTCATGTACACGGGTGGGGGGTGCCCCCTACCCTGCTCTTCCGCACGACCCCCGCCGCGGCCGTGTCCTTGAACCCCGTGTCCCTACGTGGGTCCGCTGCGACCCGTGTGGGGACGTCGGCAGCAGACAACTACCCGCCCCCCCGCGTGGACCTCCCCCCTCTTTTCCCACGCGCCCCACCCACTCGGGAGGGGTGTGACTCTCAGTGGAAGAGGCGGCGGGGGCGTGGCCTCGCTCGAGCCAGCCAATCGCGGCGCGTTTCCGCCGGCCCGGCGCGCGGGGGGAGTATATCAAGCCCCGGCAGCGGTTGCAGCGCATGACACTGACTCGAGTGGTGCCGGGACGGACACACGGTGGCTGCTGCGCGGTACCTGGGACCCTTCCTGCGCCCGCATCCTTGCGCCGCTCCCCCGCGAGACCCGGGTGCTACCGGCGAGAGGAGGTGGTGACTGCCTACATCCTCCGAGGCGTGAGATCTCCAACCCCCCCGCGCTCCTTCCTCCGGGCCTTTCGTACCGGATCCGGCTCGGCCTCGCCCCCGGGCTCCGCGTGCCCCGGGTGGATGTGCACGAAGATGGAGCAGCCCTTCTACCACGACGACTCCTTCCTGCCGAGCTATGGCCGGGCCGAGCTGGGTTCCCACGCCGACTACAAGCCGTACCGGGCCCTCAAGGCGCAGCTGCAGCTCCGGGCCGGGGCGGAAGAGGGCGGCGGGGCCTTTTACGCCCCGGCGGGGCTAGGCGAAGCCGGCAGCGCCTCTCTGAAGCTGGCCTCGCCCGAGCTGGAGCGCCTCATCATCCAGAACAGCAACGGTGTGGTTACCACCACCCCCACGCCGCCCGGTCAGTTCTTCTACCCGCGGGGCCCCACGGAGGAGCAGGAAGGCTTCGCCGACGGCTTCGTGAAGGCCCTGGACGATCTGCACAAGCTGAACCACCTGCCGCCGCCCAACGTGTCACTCGGAGCTGCCCCGGCCAGCAGCGCCTATGCCCCGGCCCTGCATCCGGAGCCGGCGCCCGCTTACACGCCCCTCGGCCCCTGTCTCCACGACGCTAACGAGCTACCCGCCGCCCGCTGCCGCTACCGCCTACCCCAGCGCCAACCTCAGCTACCTGCCCCCAGGCTACCCCCGCCCGCAGGGCTTCAAGGAGGAGCCGCAGACGGTCCCCGAGCCACCGGCGCCGGCGCCCGGCAGCCCGCCACTGTCGCCCATCGACATGGAGGACCAGGAGCGCATCAAGGTGGAGCGCAAGCGGCTGCGGAACCGCCTGGCCGCCACCAAGTGCCGCAAGAGGAAGCTGGAGCGCATCGCCCGGCTGGAGGAGAAGGTGAAGAGCCTGAAGGCGGAGAACGCGGGGCTGTCCAGCACGGCCGGCCTGCTCCGCGACCAGGTGGCCCAGCTCAAGCAGAAGGTCCTCACGCACGTGAACAGCGGTTGCCAGCTCCTCCTGGCTGTCAAGATGCAGGCCTTCTAACCCGGGGGGGCTAGGGAAGGGGGCAGGCCCCCCTTGCCCACCTCACCACGAATCCGGAGCTGGTTGAAACCAAGCTTTCCACCCCCACCAACCCCCTTTCTCCCAGCCGGGACTTTATCGCCGGATAAAGTTAGCGTGGGGGGGGGACTTTTCCCGCGGGAGAACGCGGCAGGCACTGGCCCCTGGGCGGCGGTAGGTGGCAGGAGCCAGCGGGCCTCTTTGCATGGCTGGACGGTGCAATATGTTAGGCCTCGATGTATCTTTTTTTTTTTTGGGAGGGGGCTGGACCACGAAGGCTGAAACCTGGAACGGACAGACAGCCCTAGATAACCTCCTCTCCACCTGGACTGACCCCCCTCAGCAATGTGGGGAGCAAAGAGACTGGCTAGGAATGTTGTTTTATCCCCCCCCACCCCCTTCTTTTTATCTCTGGATTGATTTTTGTGTGTGTGTGTGTGTGTGTGTGTGTGTGTGTGTGTGTGTGTGTTTGACTGGGCAGAGTCTTCACCATGTTTTTCCCCCTTTTATGTTTGTTTTAAAAGGAGGGAATGGGGAAAAAAAAGTAATGATGATAATTATTATTAACAATAATGAGCCCCTTGGGGCTTGTTTTACTGCTTCGTTGTTGTTTGTTTTTTAATGGACACCTTTATTTAAGTAAAAAGAAACATTTCTTGATATAAAAGGACGTGTTTTGGCTCTGGGGGTCTCTGATTTGGGGGGGCGGGAGCTGGATTATAGGGGTGGAGGGTCGCTTGCTGAGGGGAGGGGGTGCTAGGGGGTTCTGGATATGGAGAGGGAGCTACTGGGCTGTCTCTCTGCCTCAGTCAGGCCTGGGCCCCGTGTCTTTAGTTTCTCCTTCTGCGGGGAGGGGGTTCCTTCCCCCGTCCAGATGCGGGGGTCTCTTCCCCGGCCGTATCCACCGCGCTCCTCCACCCAGCTTGAGCCCATCGCGAGCTAGAAGGGCTGTAAGGAGGGGGGGCTTTCCCCGGTGACGCAGAGGAAGAGGCCCATATATGGTCACGCCCGGGCGTGTGACGTCAGGGCACCGGGCTGCCGGGAACCCCCGCCCACGCTGCCGGGCAGGGGGCGCGGGGCCCGGGGATCGCGTCAATTTCCAGCCCGGGGGGAGTTTCCCGGGGTCAGACCCGCTTCCGGGCAGTTCCCTGCTCCCCACCCCCTAGGAAGTGGGGGGGGGTCCCCCCTGTTAACCCTTTGCCCCAATCCCTCTTGGGGAGGGGGGGGGCAGCTCCGGGGCCCCTGACGCTGCCTGGGTTTGAGGGGCGGAGGAAGGCTCCTGGGGGTTCTACGAAGCCTCCCCGGCAGGCCAGGGGAGGACTGAGTGAGGAGGATGGAGCCGTGGGTAGGGGCAGTTGTGGAGGCCTCGCCCCATCCCAGCCACCCTGGCAGGCTTTTAGTCTGTGGCCTGATGGGAGCAGACAGCTTGACCTTAGAGAGTTAATAGCCCCCTCCCCACACAGTAAGGCAGGCAGCACAGCTGCTCCAGGAGGAAACTGAGGCCGAAGGGACAGGGCCTCGCTCCTGGGAAGAAGCTAGGAGCCAGACCTACTCAGCAGCTGGGCATACCAACCTCCCCCCCCATCCCCCAATACCAGCTGGA